CGCGAAGCTCCAGCAGCTGACCCAGTGCTCCACATCCTGCAGCCCAGTACTGGATCACCACCCTAAGTTTGGGAATCACTGTTCTATGGCACCTTTATTCTGTTTTAAGAACCAAAATAGCTCTTGATGTAACAGAGAGCCATCCCTGGGCTACTCTAAGTTAAGCCAGCTGGAGTAGTTTCATAGGGACAGCTCATCTAACTCAGCCTCATCCAGATTCATAAGCATTCCAGCTCCCAAAACACCGCCTGAATGGAGGGTGGATGAGCAGCTTGAACTGGACAAGGATTAGGCCAGTTACTCCATTTGCTAATGAGCATTGTTTATGATTACTCAGATTGGGAGAATAGGCTCAATTAACATGAGAGCCAATGCACATGTTCTCTCACTGACTCATAAAATGGATGGGTGGCATATGACCATTTATTAGGGACTTGCCCAAGTCCCAACAGCTCCCTGTTTGAAACCTCGCCCTCACCACCCATATGGTCCTGCCCAAAGGTTAAGGTATTACTCAGAGTATGACTGGTAGAATCAAGTCCTGAATGAAGGCTTAAAGCCATTAAAAACCCAACCTCTTGCTTCTGTCAGCTCGATACGTGTGTACAGCTGGTGTCCTTTCATTCCTTCTCACAGGTAGAGATTGGGAAATATCAGCCCCTGGAAGGACGGGCAGCACTAAGAATATACTTCATGGGCATAAAGAGGCTGGCAAGCCCTCCTTGCTCCAAGTCAGTCTGATTCGGAGGACCAACACAAGGTCTGTGCATTTCTTGAGCCCACTTCAGCCCCCTCCTCTTGTAACCCAGAGTGCTAATTTTAATGATATTTTATTTAACAGGGATACAAGAAACATACAGGCCTACACCCTGTAAAAGTAATTAGCATGAGGGCGCAGGGCCTCTGAGTTTTAGCATGTGGATTGCGCAGCTAGTGGAAAATGGAGTGTGAGTATTACCATTGTGCACATCGAAGTTCCCACCCGACAGTGATCTTAATGACTGGAAATAATACCAGGTAGGCACAGGCAATCAAACTAACACCAGCTTAGGAGCTATTTGCAGCCGCTGTGTCGCACATGCTTTCAAAGCAGAAGCAAAAGAGTGAGCCCCCAACCTGCTTCTTACCATGCCTGCCACCAAACTGAGTCCAGCTGCTCCCTGAAGATCTCTGTGCTGTACTTGCTGCATAGTAGCCACTTAAAAGCACAGCTTCGACCTTATACATAACACACGCCTGTTGTGTTGCACGGACACTTGTGTGCTAAGAAATTACGTTCTGCATTCTACCACGTATCTCCTCTGCAGTCTGCCCGTCACTTTTTTCATTACAGTTCGTGCAACAATGAGCCTGTTGCCCACTCTCCCAACTCCTCCAGCTGTTTGGCTGGCACAGCTCCAAAGAAAAAACATAATCGGGATGAGATGTGCCATGAGCAAATGCACGGACAGGATACAATTACATGCTTGGAGGAGACTGATGCTGCAGGAGATGCAAACGGAGCGTGCGGAGAGGAGAGCATGCCGGGAATGCAATGTAAAGCCCTAGGAGGAGATCTTGAGGTGTCTGGGGTATTAAACACAGTTGCTGACATGCCTGGTAGAGGCATAGGAGAGGCAGGGGGAGCACAGAGCCACTCTACACTCCTTGCTGCACTACATACCCACCTCACCAAGGCCGTGTCCAGACTCAGGGGTTTTTTCGGGAAAAGTAGCCTTTTCCCGAAAAAACTTCCCCTGCGTCCAGACTCAAGCCGCGTTCTTTCGAAATTATTTCGAAAGAACGCGGCTTTTCTTTCGATGGCGGTAAACCTCGTTTCACGAGGAAGAACGCCTTCTTTCGAAAGTTCCTCTTTCAAAAGAAGGCGTTCTACAATGTAAAGAGGCCGTCTTCGAAAGAGAGCATCCAGACTCGCTGGGTGCTCTCTTTCGAAAAAGCGGATTTCCTCTATCGAAAGATCCGCCTGCAGTCTAGACGCGATCTTTTGAAAGAGGCTCTTTCGAAAGATGCTTTTGAAAGAGCCTCTTTCGAAAGAAGCCTGCAGTCTAGACATAGCCCAACTTCCATAATCTCCCATCCCAGGTGCCCTAGAATGCAGTTATAGGGGGTCAAGGGCAGCCTTCCTCTCAACCCCCCAGGGATGCCTCCTGTCAAAGTAAGCTATCATTCCCACTCCTGTGACTGCTGAACAGGGGGACTGTAATATGCTGCTTGCCCTTGCTCTGCCCTCCCCCCCGAACCTCTCCCGTTGGACTTCTTTTTTGTCTGTGCGGTCTTGTATTCCCTAAATAAAAATGTATCATTTGTCCACAACAGTTCCTTTATTGCTTGTGTTATATGGGGTGGAGAAGTTGTTACAAGCCAGGACACTTAATGCTGGGGGCACCTCATTAAGAGCAACATACATGACTGATCATTCACAAAGTTGTTTTCCAAAGCCTCTCTGCCGTGCAGTGCCCCTCAATATGCTGTCCTTATTGCCCTTGTTTCTGGCTGCTCATAATTAGGAGTAAGGGTTATTTTGAGGGAAGGGTTTTATCTCGAAATAACCCCATTTTATCTCTCGACATAGCGCTATTTCTCAATAGCGCCATAATGTGATTATGCAAATGACGCGTGGGATATTTAAATCCCCGCTTCATTTGCAATTTCGGGTGTCTGAATTTGCATTTCTCTCTCGAGAGAGAGGAATGACATGTAGACATACCCAAGCAGGAGATTGCGAGGGGGAGGGAGGAGATGAGTGCATTATGAGATGCTGATGACGTACCCAGAACCACTGCTCTACTATTTTTGTTTCATCAGGCATTGGGAGTCCATCCAAGAATGCACAGGAACAACAGGAACTGTGGGATAGCTACCCACACTGCATCGTTGTCAATGTCGATGGTCACCATTCCACTGTGGACGCACTATATCGAACTGAGTTGAACTCTTGCATAAAGGGGGGGGACATCCACCTTTGACTTTACGAAATCAAGTGCTAAAAATAAATCAACCTTAATAAACTCAACTTTATCTTGTAGTGTAGACAAAGCCCTGAGACTCATGTGGTATAAAACCCTGGTGCTGGCCCTTTGCACAAACATTAATGTCATCTTCTGAAACTTATGTCTTTTACAGGTAGAATTACAGAATTCCACAGCGAGGATTCAAACTGCTCCAGATGACAAGAGGCAGGTTTTATTTTTAATAAAAATGACACCAAAATTAGCAGTTAAACATGCTATATGCTACTTATCATTGGTATACAGCAACTTAATGGTGTCAGGTATTATTTGCAACAAAAGATTAGTAACTGGATCTAAATTTCAATTCTGCTACATATACCCAGACCATTAGAGATAAGCAAGTGAAGACAGATGGAGTTAAAGTTTTTAATTTACATTCAAGAATGATGCCAGCATAAACTTATGTGTTATCATTATTATTATCATCATAGCACTGCTAGTATAAAATAATAAAATAATAAAATAATAAAAACAGCATTATAAAGGCATAGCTACACCAGAAAGTTTGGCAAACAAAACTTTCACCAGAATACAGCTTCTGCAGCACCATCTGGGGCTCAGTGCATTGTGGATCTTTTTCCCATTGGATTGTGGGATGCCAGGAAAGTACTTCGGGAATTATGGGAACTTGGGTCATATCCCCACAGTTTCCTTTCCAATGGCCCATATGGTTTTTTATCACATAAATGTTGTGCCATTTTTTATAATTCCCACGTTCCTCACACTACTTTTTCTCTGTGCCACCACTTTGACAAAAATATTGATCCTACACAGATCTTTATGTCTGGGTTAGAGACAGGTCACAATTCTTCCCTATTTCTATAACTTCAGTAACTACTTCTACAGCAGCAGTTGTAGATAAGGGTTGAGGATGAATGTGTGATGCAGACATTAGCTAAAAAGCTCATTGTGTGACAGGCATTCCCCGATCAGGTGAGTAAATTTTCATCATCAGTGAACCGAACTACATTATAAACCTGATCTGGTAATCCATTCTTTACACGCTCAAAAGTCCCTTCAATAGATGTGTTGATGCTTAAGGAATACAGGATCAGGTCATTTCTAAGTAAGTAAATATGTCTGAAAGGATTAATGTCCTTTGAATTAGAAAATATGTCAAACATTAAACTATTTCTGACACATTCCAGATCTGAAGTTTTTATATTTTAAATTTCACCACCAAAAGAAATAACATTAACAATTCAGAGCAGTACTTCTCAACTAGGGTTATATGTAACTCTGGGGGTATATATAAGCATCAGAGTCACCCCTGGTCCAGGTGGGGGGAGGAGGGGCAGGTCCGCACTCCTGAAAGGGGTGTGGCCTCAGGCAAAAGGGTCTATGCTGGGACTTGCCAGCCCTTCAGTGTTGCTGGGGGTGCACTGCCTGGGTCTGCCATTCAGGGCTCTGTCATAAACTTAAAAGACCTGGGATTCTAGCTACTGCAGCTGCCCCAATAGCAGCAGCAGTGGCCAGGAGCTCTGGGCCCTCTTGAATCGCCAGGCTCCGGGGCAGTTGCCTCTTTTGCTTCCCCTATGTTGGGGAGCCAGTGTAGAGGTCTTCCAAAGGGCATATCAACTCATTTAGATATTTCCCTAGTTTTACAACAGGCACACCAAAAGCACTAGCTAACTTAGTACAAACTAAAATTTCCTACAGTCTGTAATTTGTTTATACTGTTCTCTATATTATATGATAAAGTAAAATGCATGTATACATGATATTACACTCATATTGTATATCATTTATTGATGTGTGCAAGCACATTCATTACATTGAAGTTGTCATGGTATATATGTGGTTGTGATGTAAAAACGGATAGCTTTTTAAAATGAAGAGCTGAAAATAGCAGTAATGGCAACTGTGAAAATCGTAAAGAATTGAAAATGGGGAAAAACATTGTCGGTTCTGAAAGGAATATATTGCCTTTGGATTTGCATCTAAAAATAGCAATCCAACCCAAACTTTGGATTTTCTTTGCAGGGAAACTATCAAATAACAGCAGGAAGCTATTGTGTTTGCAACAACATCTGAAGAGTACAAATACTCTGAGCATGCACGTAAGCCAGTGGAATTTTTTCAAAGAAAGCTTTCTGAATTCCAGACTTATCAGCTTAAAATGAAAAGAGCTTCAACTACTTCTACAAAGCATGTAGGCTTCACATACAGATTATTTGGCCCTCTTGGCAGCAAGTCATATTTCCCCAACATTTAGCTTAACTCAACTAGGTAAGAAACCATTCATTTTGTCAGATGTTGGCAGCAGTAACCTCTCTGCCACTGAGCATGATAATCTCAAGCTGTCTTCAGATGGTGGTCTGCAAATCAAGTTTAATGACTCCACACTAATGCAGTTTGGATGTTTAGTATAGAAAGCACACACTGACCTTGAGAACCATCCTTTGGGTGTCTGTAACCTTTTGGGTCAACATATCTTTGTGAAGTCTCATTTTCTGCTATGACTGCTATCATGCTAAAAAGCAAAAATAGACTCAATGTGGAGAAAAACTTAATTGTTGCTGTCGCTTCACTGCCTTGCAAAATGTCAGGCTCACAAGTGAAAAACAAGCTCAATTATCACATTGAAATGTAAGTACAATATTTATATTCCAATTAATTTATTTGATATGATAAAAGTGAGAATATAAGCAATTTTTAGTACTAGTGTGTTCTGGGACTCTTGTATTCTTATGTCTGTTTTTTAAGCAAGTGGTTTTTAAGTGAGATGAAACTTGGTGTAGCGAAAACAAATCAGTCTTCTGAAAGGGATACATTCATCTGGAAAGGCTGAGAACTGCTAGTTACTAGATGGATTTTTTTATAATTAAGGTTATGACCTTTACTCACTGTATGTACCTTACTCTGAACTGTGTCACTAGATGAAATTTCTGGCCTGTTTTATGCAAGATTTCAGACTAGATTATGACAATGGTCCTATATGGATTTAAAATCTATACAACTATACATAATATCCTTTTCCTCAATGGGACTACTGCAAAGCAATGTGAAAAAAGGCAACTGAATCCAGTTCAGGTTTATTTTTATTTAGTAGTTTTTTATCTTTAAGTACTTTGAAAGCATCGAGCATTGTCACGTGCTCTTCTAAAATGCACATTTAACAGCAGCTTTTTCCATCAAAATAAATTCTTCTGCTCCAGAAACATTATATAATAAAAACTCATTACCGGATATATATGCTGACACTCCTTTGTGTGTTCATGATAATCTGTATCTGAAGTACACATGTGCCATTTTCTATCTTTCTGGGAGTTACTGTTTGAAGAAAAGCCTCAAGGATAAACCAGGTTATAAAAAGCTCATGCAAAGTTTATTCAACCATTCCTCGGGAGTCCAGGTAAAGCATTGCACAGTAAGTCACTGATAATCTTACTGAGTAAAAGTTGTTTCTAAGACATTGCTTTTTCTCAGTTAAATCTGTAACTATTACCACATACTACCAATCGACACAAAGCTTTGTTTATCACCTGGATTAGCCAGTCTAAGCTTTTTCTTTTGACTTGTTCTAGATGCTTGGAATTTGGATTCTTGCACTTTTTCTGCTTGGGACAGCCAGAGGTAAGGCATAGGATTTTTGTCAATTTCAGTACAGCATTTCTGTTCTGATCACAATCATTTTCTTTAGTCCGGATTTTGTTCTTTGTGATGAAGGTTCTATGCATCATGATTATTTGAATTTGCAGCTCATTTGTAAGAAGGGTAAGAGGTATGATTTCCCATCCCCCCAGGAAGTCCCAACCTGGGTTTACAAAGCAGAAAATAAGGGGAAATTGCTTTCCCCAAAGAGTGCTGGTATCCTGGTCTTCTCCACAGGGCCACTAGGTAAAAGGAAAGCATCTTTGTACCTACTTGCTCCCTGGTGCATCCAGAGTAGGCCTGTAAAATCCCATTTAATTGCTTAACAGTTAAACATAGTATTTAACCAGTTAACTGGTTAAAGGGTAGGTGGGTGGAGGGGCTGATCTAACCCTGCTGGGCTGGAGCAGCTCCCCTGCCCTCTGTGGTCAAGCTGGAGTGGCACACCCATTGTAGGCAGCAGCTGTTCCCAATCCCAGTGCTGGGACTGCTGGCCTGCACTGGAATGCCTTTCACCCATGGTGAGCCGCAGGAGGGATCCTGATCCTGGATACCGGTTAATCATTACCCAGTAAACATCACCCGTTAAGGGTAAAGCTTACCGGGTTACCAGTTATCCATTCACATCCCAAATCCAGACTATCATGGGCACAATCTGGCTGGTTCACACTGTCCTATCCCTTGTCATGGGCAATTTGCACAGACCCAGAGGGAGCCTGTGGAGGAATATTCCCCAGAGAGTAGGCGATCAAGCCTCATTGTGGGAGGAAGGGGGGACACATACTCCTCCCTGCATGCTGGCCCTATTCTGTGGGCCTGTGCAGAAGGTGGAATGGCCACCCTCTCCTTGCAACCTAGGGTGGATTGTGGTCCAAGGGGAGCTGTTGCTGTGCTCTGCCAAGAGCAATGCCTGCAGATGTAGCTGGCCTGAATGCAGGTTGATGTGTCCAGAAAGCATTGAGAGGCCATTGGAGGAAAAGTGCTGTCAGGACAGTGCGTGACAATTAGAACTTATGTTCATTCACACCCTAATCATTTGATCTCTGTGCTATAGGAAAGGAAGTTTGCTTTGAAAGGCTTGGATGCTTCACAGATGACATACCATGGTCTGGAACTGTAGAAAGACCAGTGGCGAAGTTACCCTGGAGTCCAGAAAAGATAAACACCCGCTTCCTTCTTTACACAAAAAATAATCCAAATAACTTTGAAGTAAGACCTATTTCTGTTAAATCTTACCAGTGGTGCATATATATAGAACATAAAATCATCATCTATTAGTGCTCCTGGCACTCCCAAAGCCAAAGAGAGAAATGGCCAACTCTGAAATGTGGTCAGGAGGTAGCATTTTCCAGCCTCTCAGAAATTTCCTGTCCAGCCTTTCATGAGTTTCATAAGTCTTGATGGACAGAATTCTCACAGGCGGATATGACAGATGATTCTTTGAATAGAGCCAGTAATTCTTTACCAGCCTTATGCAAAGTGAAGTCTGTCCCTCCCCAGAAAAGAGCACATAAGTCACCCGTAGGTACATTTTCCGTTTTTCCTGTATATAGTGAGAGATGAAGAAAAATCTATAGCACTGCAAGTTGTTTGGTGCGAAATTGAAAGGACATGATAAAGGTGAAATCCTGGCTTTACTGAAATCATGTGCGTAAAGGTGAAATCCTGGCTTCACTGAAATCATGTGCAAAATCCCTCAGTACCTATCCTACAAAGATATATTGACTTAATGTCATACATGTGAAGTTATTTGCATGTGTAAATGCTTCTAGAATCCAGGCTAACATAATAAGTCTTGTTTTCTGTTCATATTGCTGTTCTGATAAGCTCTTCATAGGAAATAATCTAAATATTTGCTATTTTAATATCTACAACAGGAGATTACTGCAATAAATCCATCAACGATCGGTTACTCGAATTTCAGTCCCAGCAAAATAACCCGTTTTATTACCCATGGATTTGTAGACCAAGGAGAAGAAAACTGGCTGTCGGACATGTGCAGGGTATGGTATTATTACAGGAAGGCTCTGAGGTTGGAAGGTCCCCTAAGGAGTGGTGGGATGGTCCACAAAATTGAATGTGGCTATGACTGCTGGAGAGATAGCATAGTCAGGAGTAAGGCCAAGTGCCCCTAGCATTTCTATCCCAACCTTCTGCCCCTCTGACACATTCTAACTCAACTTCAGAACGATCTCCTCTTTTAACATTGTTTCTGTGAATGAGCATTTGCAATCAGAATGGCTGTGCTGTCAGGTCAAAGTTGTGCAGTTTATTCCTTTGTCTTGAATCAGTAGGTAATTCTAGGGAATCCGAGAGTTTTATATTTGAAAATCACATCCTTGTCTTTGTTCCACAAGTTTATTCATTATGGGGCACTTAATACTTAATGTTTTAATTACATCTTATATCGATCTAGACAGGGATGCTGCTATGACTGGTTATATTCCCTCTGTTCCTAAACAGGCATTAATATTATCCACCCTAATTTTTAAAAATTAAAAAAAAAACAATCTTCTGGGAAAGCTGACTTGCTATCTGGTAAAATTTTGCTTCCTAATCTTCTTTATGACCCACCTGTGTCAATGGGTGGAGGCAGCCATGACCCACATATGTCAATAGGTGGAGGAAATGATGGGGCAGGTGGCTAATGGGGCAAAGTGACAGTGCCAAGGGAGGGAGACACTTGCCAAGAGATAGGCAGCTCTTTCCCAGGAATCAGTCATAGGCCAGATAGGGGAGAAGGGTGCTGATTGGCCAGTATTCCCCAACTGCCAGGATTTAGCCCAGTGCAGAGGAGATGTGGCACTTCTTTGGCTCTGTTCTAACAGTAAAATTCTGCTATTCATCTTTGTGATGCCAAAGGAGCCCTCTAGTAGGCAGCTCTGCACAAAACCACCCATTTGCAGCTCTGGAAGCAGCAACACACAACCCCAGAGCTTCTCCAACCTTCTCACTGTGGAGAATCCTTCTCCTTGCTCCAGCTTTCTTCCCCTCCTCCCATTACAGTAAAACTCCAATTGTCCGGCATCCAGTGGTCCAGCACTCCTGATAGTCTGGCACCAACTGGAACACGGAGGTGCTCCGGCCAGCTGGACAATTGGAGCTGCTGTGAGCCCCATGGGTGCTCGCAACTGGGAAAGGGAAGGGGGGAAGAGGGGAAGGGGATTATACCCATGACAGGTCTGCTGGGACCTGCACTGTGTCTGGCCAGGAGGTGGGTGGGGAACGGCGCGGCGAGGGGCGAAGCCTCCACCATTTTGTAGGAAGGTGGATGAAGCTCCGCGCAGCCGTGGACAGTTTCCGCCTTCCTGCAAAACGGCAGAGGGTTCTCCCCTCATCACGCCATTCCTCGCCCACCCACTGGACGCAGTACGGGTCCCGGCAGACCCGTCACAGCCCCCCGCCGGAGTACCTCCCAATACGCCGGCATATCCGATAATCCGGCACCACCTAGGTCCCAAAGGTGCAGGATTATCGGAAGTCTACTGTACTTGGTTCTACTGTACTTGGTTCTAAATGACCTCATCTCCAGTTCTCCAAAGAGGCTAGCGATCCATTGATCAGTTTCAAACCCACTGTGATGTACAGCCAGATTCTGCCATCCTTATTCACAGTAAGAAGTGCTTTACTGGCAAGTAGTTCCCTTGTTTTCATTGGCATTACTGACACACAGCCCTGGGTGTAGCATAATACATAACACAATACAAAGCACGTCACAACTGCTAAAGGACGGTGTCTTTAGCAAACCATTCCACAGGTCAGAGAAAAGTAAAATCTAGTATTATGTGACAAATAGTAAAGTATCTACTCATCTAAACACAACCATAAATTTGAAACCAACTAAAATGGCAGCAGAAATGTATCCATCCTCTAGAAAATTTATCACCAGCTGGTGCTTGACACAGGTCACCCATAAGTTTTTAATTATCCCACCTGTTAATTATTATGGAAAAAAAATAAAAGCTTCTAACTGAAATTGTAAAGGCTGTTTCTCTGCATCATTTAATTAAAGAATCAAGACATGAGGACAGCCCTGATGTAGCATAGGGGCTGTACTTGAAAACCTATACAGGGAATTTATATGGCAGTTATAAGTCTGTCTGTTTTGTTTAATCAGTGAGCTGACCTGGTAGTTGATAATCTTTGCTTCTGTTCTTTTAAAATATATATTTTCACCAGAGGATGTTTGAAGTGGAAGACGTAAACTGTATCTGCATAGACTGGAGCAGTGGATCAAGATGCCCATATACTCAGGCATCAAACAATATCCGTGTTGTGGGTGCTGAAGTGGCTTATTTTATCAATGTGCTTATGGTAAGGGATCTTCTTCTCCCTACAAAGTAAATTTATAATCACAGAGCTGCTGAAAATTATTCTAATCTAAACAGCCAATAACAATGAATTTTCATGTATCCAGCAAAAGATTCCTCCCAGAAAAAGATGCAAAAGTCCTATCAACTCCCCTAAAAATACATAAAGTTTAAATATGTGTACAGGCAGTCCCCGACTTACGCGGATCCGACTTATGTCGGATCCGCACTTACGAACGGGGCTTTCTCGCACCAGAGGTCGAGGTGGCGGATTGCTGCCTGCGAGCTCCGGGGCGAGAAAGCCCCGTTCGTAAGCTGCTCCCGGTGCCCCTGGTCTGCCCCGGTGCCAGAGCAAAGCCTCAGGGGCACCGGGACTGAAGCCACAGCAGCGGCGGGAGA